TATAAATAGTGCAGGAATAGCTGTTAAAAAGCCTAATTTCTTGAAAAAACCTCTTTTGAACGATGAAGACATCTTGACTCTGTGATCCTCCCCAAAATAAAATGCCGTAATTCATTATGGAATAAAAATGACCGTAATAAGCTGTTAATAGAATGTTGTGGTGTACAACTTTTTTGAGTTCTTTGAGCGAAAAACAAATACTGCTCAGTTAGTATATACTAAATATGTCATGTTGTTAGGAATTCAATTCCATTACACAGTGCAGAATCTTATATGAAGAAGAAAAATTGTCAATATATCATCAATTAGATGCTGGAACAAAATGTTTCTTGAGTTTGTTCACAAAGATTGTTAAAGAGTCGGAAAAAATATCAATATCTATTATGTTTCAAGCATCGATGTAAAGGGTTCGCTAAACGCTCCGCCTCGCAAATGCAAAATTTGCTTGTCAAACAAAGTGTCACTTTTGATCCTAATAAAACAATCTACTATTATATATTGTTCAACCTCCATAGGAATGTCATAGTATTTTTTATTATGACATTGAAATCGTTCAATCTCAATACAATAGTTATTTAACCAACTAGTGTATTAATGAGGGCGATTAACGATCGAGATATTTTAACGTGCGAGCAAAGCGAGCGCGTTAATGTTCGAGATCATTTATCGCCTTTCAATGTACAAGTTGGTTACAAAATTTTTCCGCCGACTATATTTCTCATTTCTCCTGCAATGAAGAAAACTTGGTTCGCGAATTCATCATTCATCCGGAACCTGCTAAGAATCACCCAGTAGCCTTGTTACTGACATTAGTGACATTTGACATTTGTCGAAATGATCAACATAGAAAATAAATTCCTTGTGTTAGAAAACAAGGATTGAAATCGTGTCAGAAACTTGGGAAGGCGAACCCGTTAACGGAAAATCTTCGATGAAATCCATATTTTCGATTTAAATGCAAATTCCGTAAGTTATAGCATAAACAATGAATGTTTGTTTGCCTATAACAATCGTGCATTAATAGACAAATCGTTCATTAATAGGAGTCATTAATGAACGATTTCATATACATTAAACTTAGTCGTTAATACGAGGTCGACGAAAAAAAAATTAATGGACAGTTTCAATGGAATCCATCATCATCAATCATCCAAATATGCAACTCGTATATATTTTTGGAATAAAAATAGGTGCTATCGACATGTCATAAAATATATTGGGTGTGCATTTAAAAAATCAAAGTTAATGTCTTTTCCGGAAAACAAATGACCCTGTCTATGAAGCAACTTCACTAAATAAAAGTTTGGGTCGTTTCAAACAACTTTTTAGTTCGATATTTTTTCACATCTCTGAAAACAAAATAGTTAAAGAGGGTTTCCATTTTGAGAGGCGCACCCTGTACACTGTGTTCAAGTTCCCAGCGAGCACAAAAACATCTCAGAGATGTTAAAAATACAAGATTTCGAGACATTGAATCTCCACTGCGATCTTCGAAGATTTCAATACCCAAAGTACATTTGCTAACCATGTGCTTAAATCTAAACACTCATTCAACATTAATACTGATTTAGAAGTTTTACACATTTGCCAGAAGTGTAGCTTGCTGAATCAATTGGAAATTTTCAAAGGACTTCTTTCACTCAATAATAATAATAATAATAATAATAATATTTATTCACCAGAAAAAAGAGAATGATTACAATGAAGATACAGAATATTCATAAAACAGGGAATAAATGAGAAGAACCACAAAAGGAGTTCCTTGAATGTGGATTTTCCAGTTATTTCTATTGATGAAATATCTTAATCTCATATTATCTTATATAAATCTGAAATAGCTGGAAATGAAAAAGTTTTTGTTTATAATATTCGGGGTAAGTTTCAATAACAATAACAAATAAAAAAAAGTACATATATCCTATATCAATAATATCTCAACACACACACAGTAGTTTTTTTTTTTTATATATATCAGTATTTAATATCAATATACTGACTGATCAGCGAACGAGGCACAGTGAGTAGCCACTTTTTTGTTATAGTTTTGAACATTTTCAAGGAATTTAGTTGCCTTATGCTAGGGGAAATTTTATTATATAATTTGGGTCCTAAGTAGAGATAGCTTCGTTGAAGAATATTTTTTTCTGGTTTTGGAACATATGAAGAATGCAATCTATATCTAGTATGATGTTCATGAGTGATTTGAATGAGATCTTTCTTATATTTGTGCTGTCTGGTTACTGTCACGAGAAAAAATAATTGCCGTATGTCGAGAATCTGTGTTTCCTTGTATAATTGGTCTGTGGGATATCTGAGTGGTTTCCGAAATATTATCTTCAGAAACCTTTTTTGAATTTTTTCTAAGTGTGCTAGATGTTTGCTAACGGCGGCTCCCCATGCTATTATAGCATAATTCAAATGGCTTTCTACCAGTGCGTAATACAACACCCGTAAATGGTCCGACGTGAGTATATTTGAGAGATATTTGAAACGGTATAGGATGGAGCGAAGTTTTTTGATCAAGTAATTTATATGTATATCCCATTTCAAATTGTTATCCATGTAGACACCTAGGTATTTAGTGTTTTCCACACGTGATATAGGGATCTCTTGATCATTTATATTTACTGTTAGGAAATCGAAATTTGGTAAGTTTTTAGAATAGGATGTGAATGGAAGAAAATGAGTTTTATCGAAGTTAACTGTCAAGAGGCGGTCTCTAAACCAACTGAAAATTTCACTCAAATCGCTTTCTGCTTTCGCTTTCAGAGAATTCCAATCGTTGTCCTTTAGGAGGATAGCAGTATCGTCGGCAAAACTAACAACTTCCCCATTCAGAGGTATTTTGAATAGATCGTTTATGTACAGATTGAATAAAATTGGACCAAGAACTGTTCCTTGGGGAACTCCATATTCTACTAATCTTGGATCACTCTTTATGTCATTTATTTTGACTTGTTGGACTCTATCTGTGAGGTAGTCTTTCATAAGGTCAAGTGCTAGGCCTCTAATACCTATAGCTTCTAACATTTTCAGGAGATGGGGGTGGCTGACCGTATCGAACGCTTTCGCGAGATCGATATATATACAAAGTGCAGGATTTTTTTTATCGATGTAGTCACTGATTTTCGATGTGAGTAAAGTAATTGCATCATCTGTAGACTTTTTTTCTTGGAAACCAAATTGATTGTCTGCTAAAATTCCATATTTTTTCAGATAATTGATGAGACGCTTTTTAATTATCATTTCAAAAAGTTTTCCCAAGTTAGAAATTAATGAAATTGGCCTGTAGTTCGATATGTGCAGTTTATTCCCTTTCTTAAACAATGGTTTGACTACAGCGGATTTGAAAGCCTTTGGAAATTTACCAGATCTTATGCCCCAGTTAATAATGTATTCTAAGGGTGCAGCTATTTTATCGCTGATACATTTCAAAATTTCAGCTGTTAGTTTGTCATCCCCGGGTGATTTTTTGTTTTTCAGTTTTGATATACATTCTTTTATTTCATTCTGATCTGTTTCTAGGAAAACAATTGTGTTCGGAATGGAAGTGTAAATACGTGGTTCATGATTTTTATTGTCATCAATTTTTTCTGCCATTTTTTTTCCAATATTTGAGAAGAAATCATTAAATGAATCTGCAATTTGTTTGGTATCAGTTAATACATTTTTATTTGTAGTTTCAATTTCATTTATTTCACATCTTTTCTCAGAATGTTTGTTACCACTGAGTTCATTCACTACCTTCCATAGGCCAGCAGAGTTGTTTTGGTTTGAATAAATTCGATTTTGATAATATTGAGCTTTTGCATGTTTCAAGAGATCATTTAATTTATTTCTATATTTTTTATAATTTCTACCATTTACTTCGGTTGGGTTTATTTTCATTGTATGAAATAGACGATTTTTAGTATTTACAGATTTCACTAGACCAGCAGTAATCCAAGGCTGTTTTTTCGTCAGTTGATATTTGAGTTTATTGGTGGTAGTACAATTTTCGATAGACGTTTGTAATTTATTTATAAAGGTTTGAACAGCTGAATCAAGATTATCTGATGTATAAATCTCTAACCAATGTTCTTTATCAATCTCCTTCACCAATTTTTTGTTATTCAAGAAACTTCTATGTATAATATTTTCGACATTATTTTGGTTCTTAAGAGTGATTTGGAGAATGAGAGAAAAGTGGTCAGTGATATTTGTTTCAAGAACAACTGGAGTAATGATGTTTTTTCCTTCATCGCATTTTATGAAAATGTGATCAATGCATGTTTTTGTTTCTCCCTGAATTCTTGTATATGTATTTATAGCCGGTATAAACCCATATTCTCCCATTAAGTTCAAATAATCTTGTGCATTCTCGCTTTCTTCATCCAGTATATTGATATTTATGTCTCCTATCAACATTTGAGTTTTGAAATCCTTTTGACAGCTTCTTAGGTAAATAGAAAGATCATCAATGAAAGAGTCTGCAGAGATTAAGGGGGGTCTATATAGTGCTGTTATAAATACATTTTCATTACCAAATTTTGCTTCAATCTGTATAGTTCTAATTGTGCCCATTTCAACTATTTTATAAGTGTAATTTGTTCCTTGTCTAACGTAGATTACCAGTCCATCATTTTGGTTTATATTCCCATCATTATACAAGATATCAAAACCACTGAGATTGAATACAGATATATCACTGATTTTCCAAGTTTCAGATAATATTATGAAGTCGAAGGTAAAATCAACAGTACTGAGAAGAACTGAGAGTTCATCTATATTCTTATTCAAAGATCTTATATTTGTATGAAAGATGCGAATATTTAACAAATGTGTTTGAATTTCGAGTGTTTCAATGAGATGGTTTATTGAGTCCGAATGATTTGTTTTTATTTTACGTTCTTTGAAATCTCTTATATATTTGTCCATGTTTTCAAGGGGATTTACTTTTCGATTGTTATAGGAACAGCTACATACGTTTATTATATATAAACAGAGAGTACAAATAGGGAACAAAATAAAATTCAAATTTAAAATACGATAAAAAGAGAATATTAATAGGGAACGAATTGAAATTAAAATTAAAATTTAATATGAACAGTACCTATGGGTTTCTTTTTGGGCGTGTAGATTTTCTTGTTACTTCAGATTCAGAATTTTCAGCCTCCGATGTTTTTCTTTTGTTTCTTGGGATGGCTCCGTTCGATGGTGTATTTTCTACTGCTGGGACTATGAATGGATGATCACCCAGTTGTAGTTGCTCGGCACTATACTCAATTCCTCGAACTATCAATTTATTTTTCACAATTTTCGCTTCTACGTTTTGTCGCCTGGCTGCTTTCAAATTATGATGCAGTGTTTTTCTTTCTTGGTAGTCTTCGTGAGCAAAATCTTTGGATATAGATATACCACTTCCTTTCAGGTTGGATGCTTTTTCTAATATGGAACCTATTTGGTGATAATAAATAAATTCTACTAGGACTGGACGAGTTTTACTGTCTTTTTTCTGTCCTATCCTATAGCAATTTCGTAAGTCTTGATATGTACAGGGCACTCCACAATGTTCTTTTATTACTTCAATTATATTTTGAATATCTTCTAGTTGATTTTCCTTTTCATTTAGGCCATAAAAAATCAAATTGTATTTTTTTTGTTTCCTTTCACAAGCTAGTATCTTTTCCTTGAGGCTGTTCACTTTCTTTTTCAGGTTTGAGTTTTCTTCTTTCAACTCTTCAATTTTGGTGCCAAGTTCCTGTTTTATATTTAGGATCTCAGTTTTGATTTCGTCGTTTTGTTTCTTGATAGTTTCATTTGTGGTTATTACATTATTCAGCATATCAAAAAGGACCTTGTTTGATATGTCATTTCCATCATTTTGTGGCATTTCGGGAGTTTCTAGTATTTTAATCTGCTGATCTAGACCAGATTATATTCTACCTCAATAGACAAATAGTTTTTATATTTTAGGTGTAAAAAACTGTACAACATGAATCTCATGAAGCGCGTAAAAGCTAATTTGTTAGGTTTCACACACTAATTCACGTTTTTCCTCGGTTTCACCTCACGTATCGTTCTAGTTTTTCAATAAATTGAAGAACATATCACTTGGTACTTATGATCAAAAAGTCTTACGATTTCATTCCACCTATAACCACTATTCTTTTATGTTATTTACGGAGCAGAAATTTCGTGTGTGTTCCGCACAATAATCTGAATCAATAAACAAATACATTTCGACTGCCAAGAACTCTTCAATGCCTTGAGTTTCTAATATTTGTGTTATTGTATCTTCTTGCTTTGGTCTCAGGTGTAAATTTTCCTTTTCAAAATTCTCATAGCATTGTCAACCTTAGGTTGTCCCCCCACTGTCTTCATATTCTAATGTCACTATCCACAAGTTTGTCATGATTTTCATGGGACCAATTATTGTATCTTGTCTTGCATCACCATTGACAGCTGAATTTACAGTTGTCTGTCAGAGATGGGTTTGACTTTAACATTTGGTCACATGTTATCAGGTTAATCCAGCGATATCAAGATGAAAACATTTTTCATTTTTGGATGTTTTTCGGCTTCCTAGTGTGGCGATTCCACTAGCTTATCGGTAAACAGGGCCCCCGTTTAGAAAACCTGTTATAACACAAGAAACGTATTTTCTCTGTTTTTAAATTTTTTATAAAATGATTTTGAAACTTCATGTGATTCCAAAAAAAATGTTGTTCTGCTCCACGTGAGTACTACCATGTTTTACCATTGATACCCTCTTTTATTGTTGCTTTGTTCTTTGTAAAATAATTTCTCAATCTCAAGAAACTAACATAACCCCTTAGATTCTTGCACATACATATTGCTTGTAATCTAGGTGCACTAATTCAAGTAGCTCGAATTGTGAAATGTTATTAAATTTTTTTATAGGCCTATTGTAATTCTTTGTGACTAAAACTGTTTCTTCACAGAGAAAAAATAAATAAAATCGACTGATGATGAATACTATATAGATCCGAAACTGCTATTTATGATTTGATGATATTAAACGTTGTAGAGACGACTTATTAATATATAGAATAATTATATTCGAGCATCCATTCATGAAATCCATCATGGGAAAATATGATGATATTCATAAAAGGTACCTAAGTTCATTTACATTAAGTATAAGCATATAATAAATTATTCTTAGCTGTAATTAGTTCATTATTCATGGTAGTTCTAAATGAATAACCAGAAAAAAATATATAAATGCAGTGTGAACATATACCAGTGCATAATGAATGAAAGTTTCAGAAAGAATTTATTTATTTTTCAATGGTCGATAAAATTATGAAATTTGTTGGAATTTTGAATGATTTATATTATGCGTTTCTCTCATCCAATTCCTTTTAATAGCTCTTTAATTTACATAAATATAATTTTTTAATCAGAATAAAAGTCAGCGGAATATACCTCATCCAACATGAAATTCACCTCAACATACAGGGTGAGTCATCAGTGTGGCAGAGTGAGATAACGGCTTTACTGTTTGAGATAGATGAACAAAAATTTCAGAGATGATCGGGGATCATGAGCAGCACATTTAAAAATTATTTCGCTTTATACAGGGTGACTCAGAAATGCGTGGCGTATCAAAGTTACAGGGTGGTACAAGATTCAGCATTCTGATCATCTTTGTATCTGTGCCAATTGAATGTCAGTAGATAGTAAATCAAAAGTTGGGATGGGGACATGAAAGCAGTTTTGACTAATAATGAATAGTTTCGACGCAAAAAAATCCTAAAGTTGAAAAATCACGATTTTGAACACCCTATATCTCTGTATTCATTCTCGCTAGACCCCAAGTGTGATGCATTGATGAAATCAGCTCACAAAGGAGAATGCGAAAATGCAATGAAATACAGGGTGTCCCATTAGAAAAAGTATAACTTCGATACGCCACGCATTTCTGAGTCACCCTGTATAAAGCGGAATAATTTGGAAATGTGCTGCTCATGATCCTAGATCATCACTGAAATTTTTGTTCATCTATCTCAAACAGTAAAGCCGTTATCTCACTTTGCCACATTAATGACTCACCCTGTATATACATGGTGACCCAACCCCATGATCTTGGGAACACCCAGTTTAACATCTATATATCCAAAGAAGGCCAAACATATTTCTCAGTAATCATCATTTTACTATGGCTGATTTTTACTAAAGTATAATCCATTTGTTTCTTCTCATAGACAGACGACTGGCGCGACTTTGAAAAGGAAATCAATTAAAATTTTCCAACAAACTACATTTATTATAACGTCGGAACGGATGAGAATTATTAACTGCATTTCAAGAAAAATTTAACCGTACTCTAGAATAACAAGTTGGGTATGCCGTAATATTTTTAATGTGTATATCTCCATTAGTGCTTATATTCTTGATAAGTACCTACGCATCTATTTAACAATAAGTATAAAATGTTATATTATGATTTGATAGTCATAATATACAGGGTGGGGCAATAGTGTCTCTGAGTCCGATTATCCGAGTCTTATGGTAGCTAAAAAAGTGATCCAAAAAAGACTTTTTTTACCACCCTGTATAATAGAGTCGTGAGTATGAATCAGAAATATTAAACTACTGTCTTTTAGATGGCTCCAATGATATTTTCCTTTGATATTGATAACCATCATAATCATATGATGCAAATGACATGCATTATTTCGACAAAAAAAATACTTTCAAGTGATATTGAGATGATATTCGACGGGTGGATAAGGGTTACTGGAATTCTGCAAATATACATAGAATATGAATTTGAATAAAATCGGATCATAACTTTTACAAAACTCATCAGCTATATTGGATACGCCATCTTGAATTTCCAAATTTTGATAAAATAATCATAATCGCCTATTCCAAAAACCCCAGATACCAATTTTGAACAAAATAAGATTACAAAAGTCGTCTGCCATATTAGATCCGACATCTTGAATCTTCAATTATGAAATAGCTTTCGACCGAGTATCACACTTACCAAATATGCACAAAAATGTTCATAAGAATCGGTCAAACCGTTCCGTAGGAGTTTGACAACAAACACCGTGACAGGGACAGGAGAATTCTATACAGTGTGGAGCCTTTAACTGAAATAAAGGACCCCGCACATTTAGTACGTAAAATGGCTTTCGGCTAAATTTTCTGAAAATTTGATATGTTTAAGACATTATCGTCCTTATCACACAGTCCAATTTACAGATCGATCCTATGACCAGTTTTCGAGCTACAGGGTGTCAAACATTAGATTTTGGCTGTTTAGAATATTTTGCATCAATTTGAATTATGTGCTCTAAGTCGTGATTATTCTTCAGTAGGAATGAACTCTTCACGTCTAATATCTACCTCATGAATCCCTCTATTCGGTTAGAGGATAATATCACATACAGAGTATTGCATTCCATCATGACAAGGTAATATTCTTGGGAAAAGACAAATATTGAAAACATCAGAATTTTGATTTTAACTCAATCACTGAAAACTCGAAAACAAACGGCTAGAATCGGCCAATTATGTGACACAGTATGGGTCTTGATCATAAACATGAGGATTCATATGATTACCTCTGATACCATGTCCGGTTGGCCATATATAGGGTGATGACAATTTGAAAGCTTATAGAATTGATGTAACTCAGGTACAAAATGAGATACATTTCTATAATATATGAAGTGGAAAATGAAATGTCTCATGAAATAAACCAACCCCACCAAGCCCCTAGCTGATGAGTCACAACCACCCCAACGCATATCATCTCAATAGTAGCCCCTACTTCTTGTGATACCTCATTGAATAGCTTGGTGAAAATACATTTCAGTGGTATTATTCATATCTCGAACTGGGTGAACTAACAAAAAATATTTATTACAATCACAATAAGTAGGGGCTACTATTGAGATGATATGCGTTGGGGTGGTTGTGACTCATCAGGGGCTTGGTGGGGCTGGTTTATTTCATGAGACATTTCATTTTCCACTTCATATATTATAGAAATGTATCTCATTTTGTACCTGAGTTACATCAATTCTATAAGCTTTCAAATTGTCATCACCCTATATATGGCCAACCGGACATGGTATCAGAGGTAATCATATGAATCCTCATGTTTATGATCAAGACCCATACCTACTGTGTCACATAATTGGCCGATTCTAGCCGTTTGTTTTAGAGTTTTGGGTGATTGAGTAAAAATCAAAATTCTGATGTTTTCAATATTTGTCTTTTCCCAAGAATATTACCTTGTCATGATGGAATGCAATACTCTGTATGTGATATTATCCTCTAACCAAATAGAGGGATTCATGAGGTAGATATTAGACGTGAAGAGTTCATTCCTACTGAAGAATAATCACGACTTAGAGCACATAATTCAAATTGATGCAAAATATTCTAAACAGCCAAAATCTAATGTTTGACACCCTGTAGCTCGAAAACTGGTCATAGGATCGATCTGTAAATTGGACTGTGTGATAAGGACGATAATGTCTTGAACATATCAAATTTTCAGAAAATTTAGCCGAAAGCCATTTTACGTACTAAATGTGCGGGGTCCTTCGTTGGCAGGGAGGTGAATATTTTTTCTAAAAATTCACAGTATACGTCAACGATTTAATGTTTTTATCTATCTGCTGAAAGCAGTATCAAGAATATATCTCTTCAGGGGTAGCTTGTGACTCGTTAAAAAGCTGATGAAAAGAGGAAATCAGCGTACTAGTCAAATGTTCGTTTTTCATACGTTTAAAGGTTGCACAAAATTGAAATGTGATTTTGAAATCCATTTTTTTTTCAACGTAACAATAGCTCAGAATGTGTGTTGAGAATAATTGATGGCAATTTTCTGCCACAGTTGCTATCTGCTATTGTATTGCAGTGTTTCTATAGAACCACAAAAATACCAATACCAAACACGAAATTTAAGTATAAAAATTAATTAATTTTAAAATAAATACTTCGCTACGCTTTAAATTCACGTATGAAAGCAAGATTCACATAAATTCCAATTCCCAATCTCAATGATAATTATTATTAACATGACTATAATTTCCAGGGTTGTATAGCTTTTTTTTGTGGAAAGTGATAATCATCCTGTATGATGTTATAGTTGGTAATGTGATGGACGAATGTTATAGCTTGAATCATTTACATATTCTGAGGTTTTCAATCGATTTGTAATAGAGATTCTGAGTAATTCTGAATATTCTAGATTTCTGTTGAAAGAAATTGCCTGGAAAATTCTTGATTCGAATTTTCATAATATTGCGGAATTATAATAAACACTATGAAAGATTTTTGCATCAATGATTCTCAAGATTTGCACATACCATTATGATAAAATCATACAGTGTGACTAATGATGTTCCCGGCTACCAAGAAATTACTGAATCCAACCCTGGATATAGAAGAATGTGGATCTTCAGTTAGCTGAAGAATAGGAAATGATGTTATTCTTGCTTTTATTCGTGAAATTCTAGCGTCGCGAAGTATTAATTTTCAAATTAATACATTTGTTGCCAAAGTTTCGCGTGAGTGGAAATTGATTGTACTCTATGAAATTCGGTGAAACTCTGAGGAAAATTTAAAATACTTCATTTTGATTGCCGGTTCATCAACTTTGACAATTCCATGTCACAGGTAACTAAATTCATATACAGGGTGAAACTTTTGGTGATTATTACTCTCTACTAAAAAATTATTATTGTATTAATTTTCACTTATAATATCACGAGAGCTCCAATTATTTCGTCTTCGTCTCGACTCGGGAAAATTTTCAAAATTTTCGTGTTCTCGAAAAAATTTCCGGATATTAATTGAAGCTAAAGTGGTATTCGGTAAGAAAATTTCACACCAAACATTTTCGATCAATTTAAAAGAATTTCAACAACACTTAGATGATTCAGTTGAAAATAATGGTTGTTTGTGAGGAAATGTAAGAACTAAGGTATAGTAACAACATGTGTTTTTGTAAATTTCGAATTTGCAAGTATACCTACATAATATTATATGGTAAACTGTTGATAAATGATTTTTATTCATTGTCTTATCGAATGAACTCGAAATAATCTGAAGTTGAATGTAAATGTCATTTAACCTATAAACGTCAAAAAATTTCCAGTGTAATTTCATGCTCCGTCCCCCAAAGAGAATGAAAAAATTTCCAAGAAATTTGTTTAGTTGCTATGGTAACGATATGAAATACAGTCTTTGAATTGATCGAAAATGTTTGGTGTGGAATTGTCAAAATAATACATTTGTTGCCAAAGTTTCGCGTGTAGTATGAATTAATCATTTTCTAAGAAATTTAATGAAAGTGTGAGGGAAATTTGAAATACTTCATTCTGGTAGCCTGTCCATCAACTTTAAAAATTCCACATCACAGTTTACTAAAACCTTATACAGGGTGAAATTTTTGATATGAACCAAATTGGCAAAATTTCTCAAGACCGGTCCTGGATTTTCACGTATCTGAATACGTCAGTTGATTGCTGAGTGACAGCATGAAAAAATGAAAGAAATCGAAAGACCTGTTGAAAAGTTATGAATGAAAGATGTTTTGGCCATATCCCATAAATCACCCTATAGATTATTTTAGGAGAGGCGGAGACACTTTCTGATGGTCATTTGATATTCCCCTCAGGTGCCTCTATTCGCAGTAGGAGCATGTACAGTTCCTCATGACTCACCCTGTATACAGTGTCATTCATAAAGTCGGCATCATATGGGAAAAACTTTTATTAATGACTTATTTTGAAATTCGAGTTGGACGTTAAGTTTTGCTTAAAAAAAGATGGAAAATGGCCTACTCAATCGGGGTCACGTGACTTTCGCTACATGTCAAAAGTGACATTTTTTCAAATTAATCGCTGAAAGTAGGCTTATTTGTTCGAATATCAAAAAAGTTTACTTGGAAAAGTTGTTTCTATTTACATTCTACAAATGTGACTCGGATTTTATCATTCTATTACATTTTTCAGATTTCGATATTTTTTAAAGAATTTCAAAATTTCTGTAATATTAAAAAAATTGTAAATTCGATAAAACTACTTCATACCAGTTAGTAGCTTCATCATGCTACTAACTTTCAATTACTAATTATCACTAATTATCGACAAAAATAGGATTTTCTTCAGAAAATGATAATCTCCGCTTCAAAATTCTGTTATGTTTGATGCAAACATAACATCAAAATTCTGTTATGTTTGAGTCAAGCATTTAGAAACTAAATTCATTTAAATTTATTTTTTCAGTACTGAAAAGATCAGTTTAAATGGATTTCGTTTCTGAATGCTTGACGATATATCAAGTTTGCATCAAACATAACAGAATTTGGAAGCGGGTATTATCATTTTCTGAAGAAAATCATATTTCTGTCCATAATCAGTGATAATAAGTAATTGAAAGGAAGTAGCATGAAGAAGCTACTGGTATGAAGTAGTTACGTGGAATTAACAATTCTTCAAATATTACAGAAATTTCGAAAAATTAAAAAAAAAACAAAATCTAAAAGTTGCAATAGAAAGATCAAATCCGAGAAGCATGTGTAAAATTGAAATAGAAACAACTTTTTCAAGTAAACTTTTTTGATATTCGAACAAATAAGCCTACTTTCAGCGATTAATTTGAAAAAATGTCACTTTTGACATGTAGCGAAAGTCACGTGACCCCGATTGAGTAGGTCATTTTGCATCTTCTTTGAAGCAAAACTCAACGTCCACTCGAATTCCAATATAAGTCATTAATCAAAGTTTTTCCCATATGATGCCAACTTTATGAATGACACTGTATATCCAATACGCCATTTCTGATTGTTTTGATGTTCTTGCCCAAACATAAAATCAGGTGAAATAATGGTACAACGAAATATTTCATTAATTCTTCTTCCGTTCCAGGACTGTGTGCCGCAACTACCCGTACGCCGATCCGCCCGCCAGCGTCATGTCGACGGAGGGCGGTCTGGGCGGCCCGGGCGCCTCCCCCGCCGCCCTACCGTCGCCCGGGGGCGGCAAGCTGCCCGCCCTCGACCCCGCCCTCGACCGCTTCCTCGGCAAGGGCTCGCCGTTCGCGCCCGCCTCCTGCGATCCGCAGCGGCATTCGCAGAGCGACGACGACAGCGGCTGCGCGTTGGAGGAGTACACGTGGGTGCCGCCCGGCTTAAGGCCAGATCAGGTGAGAGCACAGTAGATCAAAAATATTGTAATGATATTTCCCTTAGAGGGGCTTTAGAAACATCATCAGTAAGACAGGAGTACAACACTCATCCTGTAACACGCATCCCAGATCGTTCTCCTACCTCCCAATGATTCCTACATGCACTAGCATATTTCCGAACACTCAATATATGCCGCAGTGACAGATAACGTCACAGAAGATTCTGGAATGTTCTGGAAACAATCGATGGAACAATTAGAGAGAGAGGTTTGTTCTAAGAAGCTTCTATGTAGAACAAAAAGAAGGAGACGGAAGATCATTCGAGAAGGTTCTCGAACCAAAGCCTGCCAAGTGATCTCATATATAAACGGCCGAATAACTGCCGTCAGTCAGTCGAGCAGCGAGTGTCAGAGAGACAGTTATATACCGCGTGATATAAATCGTTTTACATCAATAGTAGTTCTAAGTTCGTTATAAATTAGTGTTTCTATATAGTTCAAATAAATCAGGTCGAAAATAAATAGTGTCGTGTTCGTTCCGCACCCGAATAACGTAACAATATTAATTTTCCTAACAATTTTTTTTTTATGTTCTGGTTCTCACGAAAATGGATATCCTGTAATGTTTAGAAAACATCGTGAGGACCAAGGGAAATAAGGTAGGAATTGGTGTCCTTCTTAAATTTCTTTGGAAAGAGATGTTCTGCAGGTCTTCAAAGTGACCACGAAGGGGTGCGAAGCCTAAACTCGACGGGTTAATCTCGCGGGGACTGCCAAGGGCGGAACAATTGTTGATATTTCAGAAGAGCTTCGTCCATGAAAATATCTATAAAATATTGCCAGATCGCCAACTTTTCTACGGTGTTTCAGAGAAGTGATGAGTGAGTTTGTGAGCGAGGCATCACCCACAAGACGAATTGCCCTTTTTTGGACAGAATCCAACAGTTTTAGGGTATGTTTGGGTGCTGCACTACAAATATGGAAACAGTACTCCAGGACAGGTCGAATCTGTGCCTTATAGATCATGAGCAGCTGACTGAAAGTGAAATAGGTCCTGGCCCGAAATAGAAAACCAAGTTCTTGGGATGCACTTTTAGCAATTGATTCCACGTGATCTTCCCAAGAAAAATTATTGCTGATAGTAATATCAAGCATCGGAATGGATGTTTTCAAAGGTATGGTTACTCCTGAAAAGCTTATGTTGGGCACGGTGAGATCGGTTTTTCTAGAGAAACGGCATGCTTGTGTTTTGTTTGCATTGAATCCTACCAAGGTATTGGATCCCCATTCGAGAGTTGTTGCCAAGTCCATCTTTATGCTGTTAATATTTCTCCCTCGTTCGTTTTTGATTTGCCTGGCTGGTATTGGAGCTCTGGAAGAGAAGGCGGTATGGAGGGTACTATCATCCGCGATGCAGTGTACTGGACATGGAGTTGCTTCCAACGAATCGTTGATATTATGTAAAAATAGTGTTGGTGCTAGAATTGATCCTTGTTTGAGAGAAAACTAGCTAGCAGAGAACATACCTGGGGAGGCAAGCCATAAGGTGGAAGCTTGGCGAGGAGTCCGTGGTGCCAGACTAGATCGAATGCCTTGTTGATACCGAGTGCCAAGGCTAAGGTTTCACCATATTTTTCAATAGATTGCTGCCATATATGTGAGACGTAAGCGAGCAGGTCACCAGTTGATCTCTGATGACGAGAGCCATATTGCCTATCGTTGATACTACCTGAATGTTCCAGGTATTTCATGAGCTCGATGTTGATAGCCTTCTCCATGATCTTTGAAATAATAGATAGCAGTGCGATGGGTCTGTAGTTGCTAGGTAGGATCTTTTTGCCTTCTTTAGGAACTTGTTGTACTCTTGCAATTTTTCAGTTGGACGGGAATATCCCCAATATGTGAGAGTAGTTGAACAACTTGCAGAGAACAGGTGTTAGTTCGGGAGCACATTTCTTTGGCTTTCTTCTGGGCAGTTGTGGCTAGTGTTCCATCTTCCTTGGTTAGAGGAGGAAACGAGCTGGAAGTGAAGTTTCTTCCTACAGTTTTGGCGAAGGACCAAAATGAACGAGATCAGTTAGGACATTCAACAAGTACGGGAGATGATACTTCCCCGTACGCGAATGCCGTTGACCAGAACGACGCGAAGCGAAGTTCGGGCAAGCAATCGAGTGCGGGAAATACACTTTCCACATGAGATAGGAACAATGTTTCTTCTACAAGCGTAGGAAATTAATTGATTTATTCATTCAATTATTTTTGCAAATTGGAACAACTAACAATAGTGATATACTCTCTTACTTCTAATAATTAGTGATATATCTATTGTGTGTACCGTTTCAAGCATTATGTAGGTACGCTTATTGCGGAAGCCAGTATGCCCATGGTGTTTGGCCTCTAGGTTTCAGACATTTCCAGGAAATGAGCCAATAATACTCCTTCTTCAGTTGGTGTTTTCACTTTTTTACAATTGCACCATTCAATAAATCCCATGTAGTGCTTTTCATAGCTTCCTTGAGACATTTTTCATCGCAATTCCACTGAATCGAAAATGACAGTAACGCTCTGTCTGTCACTCTGAGAATTACACTAACTAATTTGTGTTTTGATTGACATGACAACAATGGGCGTGTACACCTTAGTAGAACTTTCAACTCAAACCATGTTTATAATGATCCTTTTATACATAAATAATGATTGAAGACATAATTCGATCGAAAAATCAACTGGAATGTTTCATTTTTGGACATAAATAATACCGGGTGACCAGTTATATTCTGACCCATTTCAAATGCTTATAGCTCTGAAACCATTCAAGTTATCGTTGTGCAGTTTGGACTAGTCTATTTTGATATTTTTCAAGTTTTTTTCGACAGGTTCACCTCCTCTCTTGAACTTCCGGTTCTACCGGAAACAAACTAACCATTATTCAGGTATAGGGCAACTTTTTCATTTCATTGAATCACCCTGTATTTTTTTGCACATTCAGAAAGACTGGTTCTTTCTAACAATGTATAACAAGTTATGTTTTCTTAGAAAACTATCAGAGTTATACCTGTTTGAAACAACTACTGCATATGGAATGGTTTAATGAGATTTTGCAATGTAACCAAAGTCGCCTTTGGAAATTCTGGTCACAACACATGAAATGCCAGATTAGATGTGTCAAATGAAGATTGTCGAGCATTTGTACTTTCTTCGAGTTGAAAAAATGTTTACTTTAACTGAAAAAGCTAAGTGTGTGGCAATTTTTGCCGAAACCAAATCTTATGAAATTACAAGAAGAAGATTCAGAACTATATTCAATAAAGATCCTCCAGTGAAAAATTCGATTAAAACATTGCATGCCAACTTTTTGAACACTGGATCTATTAATCGTAAGAAAAGGACCCCCAACAATGTGAATCGGGTCAACAATGCAATAGAAATTCTGGGTCGCATACAAGAAGACCCCCCTTTATCTACACGAAAAATTTCTGCCATCACAGGTATTCCGCAAAGTACAGTTCACAATATTATGTCCAAAGAATTGAGACTGAAGGCATATAAAATTCAGATACTACAGGAAATTAAACCAGCTGATTTTGAAAAAAGGTTGAAGTTCTGCAGGAAAATTCACGCATTAAGAAGAACTAGACACTTCCTGGATACTTTGATAATGTCTGATGAAGCAAGTTTCCACATTGATGGCAGGGTGAATAAACATAATTGCCGCATTTGGGCATTGGAAAATCCAAGAAGTATCCACGAACATGTCAGGGACTCTCCAAAAGTGACCGTTTGGTGTGCCATGTCAAAGCACAAAATTTATGGTCCATTCTTTTTCAATAATCCAATTGTGAAATCTCTTTCGTATTTAGACATGTTGGAAAATTTTCTCTATCCACAACTGGAACAGGAAAATTTACTGGATATAGCTTATTTCCAACAAGATGGAGCTACTCCCAACTATGCAGCGATCACAAGAGATTCTTTGAACGCCACTTTTGGACATCGTTGGATTGGAAGAGAAGGCCCAATACTATGGCCACCACGGTCTCCAGACCTAACAGTACTTGATTTTTTCTTATGGGGTTACATCAAAAGTCGTTGCTACAATCCAGCACCTCAAAATCTCGATCAACTCAAAGAAAATATTCGTAACGTGATAGAAAGTATTCCTGTCGATATGTTGAGTCGCAGTTTTGATAACTTCGTAAAGAAAACGAATTTATGCATTCAAAGCAATGGAGGACATTTTGAACAGTTGCTATAATTATTTATGTTCAGTTTGTTATTTTTTTCTGATGTTGAACAAAATTTCAAATAAACTAATCATAAATCTGAATCAGATTTATTCAATATACGGTAATTCAGCATTTCAGGATAACATCCTAATATGGAGTAGATGCTTCAAAGAGTTGTAACTCTGATAGTTTTCTAAGAAAACATAACTTGTTATACACTGTTAGTAAGAGAAAATACCAGTCTTTCTGAATGTGCAAAAATATACAGGGTGATTCAATGGCATGAAAAAGTTGCCCTATACCTGAATAATGGCTTCTTTGTTTCCGATAGAAACGGAAGTTCAAGTGAGAAGGTGAACATGTCAAAAAAAACTTGAAAAAATCAAAATAGACTAGTCCAAACTGCACAACGATTACTTGAATGGTTTCAGAGATATGAGCATTTGAAATGGGTCAGAATATAACTGGTCACCCGGTAGTACCTTCTGAAAACGGACCCTCCTATGACGTAGAAACCTCATCTCGCCATAGTTAAAAGAAAATACCAAACGCCCGACGGAGTGCGTGATCTTGAGGGGGTGATCTTGAGCTAATTTCACTCTGTCAGAAATCATGTATCATTAATTTCTGTCTGGAAAAGTCCTGTTTCAGTATTGGGGTTTTGACGTCACATCATCGCCATTTTCAGAGGTCCGAGAAATCGAGGATTTCATTATAGAGAGCTCACAGCAAGAAACGGTTTGCGGTGGTGAGCTAGTTTGGGTGAGTTCTATCAAATTATGAAATAAATTTT